CAGTTTAGCACTAATACTAAACTGTGATTAATCCTCTGCTTTCAAAGGATTACAGCTACTGCTAAAGCTAGACAGATAATTCGAAGTTGATAGTACAAGGTACTTGAATGGCACAAAGGAAGTCAAGTGAAGACTTCCTCTGTTGGTCAGCAGTGGTTTCACAGTTTTTCTGTTTTTGTTTTATTTTGGGTCTGGTCGTGGGCCTGAACTCTGAGCCTGGGCGCTGCTCCTCAGCTCTTCAGCTCAAGGCTAGCGCTCTACCACTTGAGCCACAGCACCACTTCCGGCTTTTCTTTCTTTCTTTCTTTTTTTTTTTTTTGCTTATGGGTGCTGAGGAATCGAACCCAGGACCTCAAGCATGCAAGGCAAGCGCTCTACCACTGAGCCACCTTCCCAGCCCTCACAGTTTTTCTGTATGCCAGAGGGTGGCCATGAGTGTGAATAGCTGAACTGATGTGGAGACTAAACAAAAGAGTTGAAGTAAATTAGGGCCAGGGGTGAAATAGTCCTTTCCCAATCATGTACCTCACAAGTTATTAGCTATAAGTCAGACAGTGTCTCAAACCTGTAATCATAGCTACTTGAGAGGCAGAGATTGGAGGATCACAGTTTGAGGTCAGCTGCAGGGAGTGGGAGGAATTTGTAAGACTCCATCTCAACTAATGGCTGGGTGGAGTGGTACACATTTGTCATCCCTCTAGTGACACAAATAGGAGGATAAAAGTTAAAGGCAGGGGCTGGGAAGGTGGCTCAGTGGTAGAGTGCTTGCCTTGCATGCATGAGGCCCTGGGTTCAATTCCTCAGCACCACATAAGCAAAAAAAAAAAGCCGGAAGTGGTACTGTGGCTCAAGTGGTAGAGAGCTAGCCTTTTTGTCTGTCGTGGGGCCTGAATTCTGGGCCTGGGCTCTGTCCCTCAGCTCTTCAGCTCAAGGCTCTAGCTAGCACTCTACCACTTGAGCCACAGTGCCAATTCTGGCTTTTTTCTGCTTATGTGGTGCTGAGGAATCAAACCCAGGGCCTCATGCATGCAGGGTAAGCACTCTACCACTGAGCCACCTTCCCAGCCCCAAGCATAAACTTATCACTGAGTTACATCCCCAGTCCTGATTTTTGTTTCTTACATCACCAATCTAAGGGTAGAATTTCTCAGGAAAGAACTTTTAGCCTCATGTCCACTCTTACAAGAGCCCCTCATCATATGTGTCCCTTTGATCATATGTCAGTATGGCAACAAAGTGGGCATGGAATCCTCAAAGGGAATTTCTAGGGCAGAAGAGGGAAGGATGGGTCTGGCCACAGTAACAGAAGTCCACTCCCATCTATTCGTTACCCTTTCCAGGAGCCTTGAAGCCTTAGCTAGCCAGGATTGATTACCTCTTCTCTGTCTTTAATCCCTGCAACACTATGTGTGTGCCTGTGTGTGTATGTGTGTGTGCACAAATGCATGTACCTGTAGTGGGACTTGAACTCAGGGCACTGTACCACTTGAACATCAGTTCCACTTCCAGCTTCCGGTGGTTAATTAGAAATAAGCTTATGGGCTTTGTTGTCCAGGCTGGCTTCAAACCAACACAATCCTCCAATATCAGCCTTCTAAGTAGGTTTACAGGCTGAGATACCAGAACCCAGCCAAAAATAAGGAGCTCTTCATGAATTTATATGCTGTCCTTGTCAAGGGCCCATGCTAATTTCTGTATCCTTCTAATTTTAGTGCTGCTGAAGCAAGCACTAACTTTCATGGATCTCTCAGTTTCCTTTGTTCAATAAATATTTGCCAATCCTTCGATTAACTGCCCTAGGCACAGAGGACAATGCTTGTCCTCAAGGTTACCTTCTGATGCTATAAAGGAAACAAGCCAGTAAAGGTAGAGGGTAGAAGAAAAAGAGGGAATGCCTGATGCATTGATACAATATACAAAGGAATGAGAAAAATGGATCTGTAAAGCGTTTTGCAGATGTAAAGGCAGAGAGAGGAGAGACATTTATTTAACAAGGAGACTGGTGGGTTTTGAATTTTGAATTTAGTTTTGGAATGTAGCAGGAAGGCTACAAAGAGTTTAGATCATTAAGGAGCAAGAGTAGAAGCAGGAATGCCAATTAGACTCTTTCAGTAAGGTGGAAAGATAGGTGGGATGGGTAAAGGCAGCAGATAGGCAGAGAAACAGATGAATGAAATCTATTACATTTGGAGGCAAGATTGATAAGACATTTCTGATGGATCAGAATAAAAGTTATGGAGCCTGATGGATTAGAATAAAAAGTTATGGAGCTGGGCGCCAGTGGCTCACGCCTGAAATCCTAGCTACTCAGGAGGCTGAGATCTGATGATCACAGTTCAAAGCCAGCCTGGGCAGGAAAGTCCATGAGATTCTTATCTCCAATAAAAACCACTAGAAAACCGGAAGTGGTGCTATGGCTCAAGCGGTAGAGCCACTGGCCTTGAGCTGAAGAGCGCAGGGACAGGGCCCAAGCCCAGAGTTCAAGCCCCATGACCGACCAAAAAAAAAAAAAGTTATGGGAAGGTCAAAATATCAAGATCTAAAGGCTGGGAGTGTCCTTAATGGTAGAGTGCTTGCCTTGCATTCATGAAGCCCCAGGTTTGATTTCTCAGTACCACATACACAGAAAATGCTGGAAGTGGCGCTGTGGCTCAAGGGATATAGTACTACCCTTGAGCAAGAGAAGCTGAGGGACAGTGCCCAGGCCCCGAGTTCAAACCTCAGGACAGGCCAAAAAAAAAAAAAATCAATATCTAGAATTTTTGGCTTGAGCAACTGAATGAGAACTAAATGGATCAAGAGATTTTATGTTGGGGTCTACAGATGCTGGCCGATCAAGTCTGTTTTTTTCAAGGTAGTTTTTGTTATTATTGCTGTTTGTTGTCAGTACTGGGCCTTGAATTTAGATCCTCCCACTCTCCCTTGGTTTTTTCCTTTCAAGGCAAGTGCTCTGCCATTTGAGTATCCCC